TATAGAGGTGTGAACGAGGCCAACAGCCCTAACTGATGTCACATTAAACTTGAGGAAATATTCTTAAAAACAAAAATATAATTTCCAGGAATTTTAAGCATTGACTCCGACTTCAAAATATTAAATAATAATAATAATAATATTATTATTTTTTTTAAATATTCAAAAACATGTTAAGTATGATAAACGTGTTTTAAGATAAAAAAATTATTTATTTTTTGAATAATTACATTTAGGCCACCCAAAATATTGATATTTACAAATTAACCGTCAATGTAATTTTTTTGAACTACAGAACTGATGTATTTATGAGTGCAACGATATCAAACTATTGAGAATTTGATTAAAAAAAAATGAAAATATGGGTTGGGGTTTTGTCATGAATTTCGATATTTGAGTGAGAATTTGAAAAAAAGGATGAAAAGAATGCTATCGGTGGTTTATTTATAAATAACATGTTTTGGATGGTCTTTATGTAATTGACTCTCTTTTTTATATAAAAGCTTTCCAAAATCGCCTCATGCTGAATTGTTGAACTGCCCAGCTGATGAATTGCTGACAACAACATATATATATATATTATGTATATATATGTGTGTGTGTAGGTGTGCGCACTCGCTTTTGTCTGACTCATTGATTGCGACCTTTGATGTAAGTCTCTCGGGTCGGGGGTTCGATCCCAATGTAGGATCGAATTACACTTTCTGGAATAGGGGTCTGCCCCTCGACCAAACTTTGGGTTTGATCAGAGATCAACCTTTATATATTATTATAGAGCCTCCAGCCACCTCTAATATGCCAAATAATTTGAATTCCACCTCCTTAAAGCCATTAGTGACAGGGGATTCAAACCTCCAACCTGAAGAGTCTTATACTGTAGATGCCAACAAACAGGCTGGGGTACAATGATTTGGGCATTATAAAAATCAATATCAAATTTCATGCATTAGATATATATGTAAAAATGTAAGAAAACTTAGGACATTTTAGTAAATTCCTTGCTTAATAATTTAAGATTGTAATGTATTTCTTAAGCCCATGTGATCAAACAAGAAACTTCAACTGTTCCTATCAAAGACTTGGTAGCCATTAAAGCAACATTACATGAGCCCCATCTTGTATAAATAAAGCTGAAGAGCTGAGGCACTGTATGCATTAGTTTGGATTCAAACAATGCCTCTCAACTCTTTGCCCCCATCAAACTTTTCGGAGTTTGGTCTTCAAGAGTTAACCGACATTTTGTTCGAAGATTATTCGATCGACAATCGAGAGATCGAAGAATGTAGAGAAATTCCGCATTCTAATCATCAACGAAGTGATCCTCAAGTTATGATGGCTATGGATGACAATGCTGAAGGGGAGAGTAGTGGCAATGCTAAGCGAAGGTAAGATGAGCTTCTTTTTTTTCGAGGTATAATTATTGTAAGATTTACGTATATACGATGTCATATCTATATGCATGAAAAGGGGTACGTAGCATTATTTTTTATGTGATAAATGTAAGAAGTAAAGTTTAGAAGTTTGATATGTAAATATATAAGAATTAGGGGGCATGTATGTAGAAGCTTTATTTATGTAATTGGTTTTACATATATTTCATTTATGTGTAGGGGAAGAAAGGAAAAAATAGGAAGAATTGCATTTATTACAAAATCAGACATTGATAAATTAGATGATGGGTACAAGTGGAGGAAGTATGGGAGGAAGAAGGTGAAAGACAGCCCTAACCCAAGGTACACAATATGCATGAGAAGTAAGAAATTTATCAAGGTGGATAGGGACAATTGCATACATACCATAGTTTTTTATTTATTTACATATCTAATGCCCAAGCTTTTATATATTTACATGCAAATATGAATGTTTTGAGGTTTGATATGTAAATTCATGAAAGTTATGTGTTGTATATATGAAAATTTCCCTTTTATGTATATGACCCAAATTTTTTAGATCATTTAAGAGATATCACTAGTATTGATATATATAGATTACACTTAGGTTACATGAAGAATTACAAGGGGGTATAACTTAAGTATAACCTAGTTGTACCCTCCGAATAACCTAAAATGCACGCAACTCTGCGTACGTTTTCCGTACGCAAATATTTCTCCATTTATTTCTCCATTTATAGGGGAGAGGGTATAATATGTGAAATTACATATTTAACCCTACTTTTAATGGTGATATTAAAAGGTTTATTTATGATATTTTGAAAGTATGAGCGGGTCATTCAAACTTCGAATTCTCCGGCTGGTGGTCATCCAGGTTGCAGGTAGTTCTCCCGAGAGATTCAATCTGAAATATTTTTTTGCCATACACTCAGCAATAATATTAAAATAAAATTACCAAAATATACATATTATAATTTATTTATTTATTTATTTATTTTATTTTTATATAGAAATTACTATAGATGCACAAGTGGAGGGTGCAACGTGAAGAAGAGAATAGAAAGAATGAGAGAAGATTCAAGCTACGTGCTGACGACTTATGAAGGAATCCACAGCCACCACGCTCCTTACACTGAAACTACTCAGCCTGGAGCTATGGCTGCTTCATCAGTAATGGCTGCTCTGAATGGACTGAACTGGTAAGTATTTGTGGACTCCAGGGTTTGGAGTGTAATTGTTTATTAAATAAATATTTATGGAATAATTCTGCTTATTATAATGTAGTTAATAGCAAACATTGTTAATCTGTTTTGTAAAAGTGGGATATACAGTGCAAAAGTACAATTGAATTGAGTTGAGTTGGTGTTTTTGTTAAGAAAGCTTGTATTTAATGGAGAGAAGATGATTGTTGGTGGGAGAGAAATTCTTATTTGTGTTTCTGAATATGTCATGGCCTAAAACCTTTTTGTTTTCTTTCTTGCAATATGCAATTACATTGAGGTTATGAACGTTTTATGTAAAAAAAAAAAAGTTATTGCATTGAAAAAGAGCGAATACTAAAGGTTCTAGATTCGAATTCAAGATTATTCAGGTGCCTGATTTTAGAAGTTTAAAGTCACACCGATAGTTTCGACAAGGTCAACTGGGTGATACTATAATCGGTTCAATAGTAGTCTAATCAAGCACTGATCAAGTCATTAAAGCACATCCGTAGCCACCAACCATCACCGAACATCGTCTATCCACTATCGCAACCACCGTCATCGGTCACTTATCACAAGCTGCTTGCTAACGTCATAATCCAAATATTGTCTTAGCATACAACATTGTATTGAATGAATGGTGAAAACTTTCTGCCTCTGCAGCAACTAACAATCATTAACTACTGCCCGCCAATCTTTGGCCACCGCCGACTGCCGCTACTTGCCTCCATCAAAGACCCACATTTGCTAAAGTCGTATGTCAATTACAGGTGTAATGTATAACACTGTATTGAAGACCCGTAGATAACTTCCAGGTTTCTTAGTCGTTGAGCACCGTCGATCAATGCCCGTTGTCCACTGACTACAATCAACCAATTATAACATGATAAAATATATAAAGTACAGAATTTTAAAATATTTATGACCATTGTAGTCAGAATAGGATGAATGATCCTAATACATGTTTTTTTTTTTTTTGTATGCAATATATTGACAAGTGTTGTCTCTAGTATAACATTGTACCCCCGTCCTAAGAGAAGGAGCCCAACCACCAATTATGGTCTATGTAGCCAACTGATACTAATGCAACGAACAAATATAGCCTTTGTGGCCAACTGTTGCTATTATAGTCACCATCTATAGTCTTTATAGCCAACTAATGTTATTGCAGTCACCAACTACGACCAATATGCCTAAATACTATGATCAATTGACACTCTTGCAGTCACCAACTACGGTCTCTATGACCAATTGACATTCTTGCAACCACCAACTTCGACCTATGTGACCAACTACTACTGGTGCAATTTATAACTACGACCTCGGTGACCAACTATCAATTTTTTAGCCACAGACCATAACCTTCATGATCAATTGTATTTGTTGTGACTCAATTGTTGCTATTATAGTTTAACTACTATTTACATAATTGCAATATCAACATTATAATTCCATCTCCTCTAATTCATGAGAAAAGTGAACCTATTTACTTACAGACTCATTGTGGATTAATTTGACTGAGCAAGAGCTCGTGATTTTTTCCCTTTGAGGAGTTTTACCTCGTAAAAATACATGATGTGAATGATTTTTTTCTTGAAGTATATATATATTTTTTCCCAAAAAATGTTAACCCCAGCAATTATTAAAAAGTAAGAGTTCTATTGATATTATTATGGAGCTTCAAATAAATAGAATGTTTAGGGTGGTCTATATGTAATTATCCCAAAAATAGGGCAATTACATACCACCCGAAACTTGCTATTTACAAATCAACCACTCCCTTTCATCCATTTTTCAAATTTACAATCAAACATTAAAATTCATGATAAAACTTCAACCCCTATTTTTCAATTTTATGAAATTATCAATAGCTTCATTATGACATGCATAAATATATTGATTTTCAAGAAGTTATCTGGATGATTAATCTATAAATATGTAAATATAAATATTTCTGATGGTATTTATGTAATTACTCCAAAAATATATTAGAGAGAGAGAGAGAGAGAGAGAGAGAGAGAGTTCAAAACAACACTGTTCAAAATTCAAAGCAACATTTTTATTTTCTGAATCGGCCATGTTCTAGAAAAGAAGGATTTATATGCATACCACATGTTTCTTATTCACTTACATATCAACCACATAAATTCTAATATTTATTTATATAAAATTTTAATATCATAATCACAAAAAAATATAAAAAAATAAATAAATTCTACTTCTAAATTAACACATAAGTCACATTTTATATGAGGTTAATATTTTACATGTTATATAAATTTAAATATCAAATATGTAAATAAATAAAATTGTATGACACTGTGTGTAAACGAGTAGAATCGAGTCAAGATGAGCGGCCATAGATTTGAGTTTGAGTTCAAGCATAATTCTATAAGTTCAAACAGCCTCGAAAGTATATAT